CTCACTGGCTCCTTGCACACCTGGAAGACGATGCATGCACTTGCTGCCTGGCACCCGAGGGGGCAAAGAATATGTCTTACATTGTCTAGTTGTGTGGATGCCAAGCTACCTGTCACCTGCTCCCTGGGGCTGTGCTTTTCCTCTTGAGTCAGCCATGGGCTTGAAACCCATGCAGGGCATCATGTGGAAGTAAACGTGAAGGTGTAACCAGGCCAAGGCTCTCCTGGGGGAAAGGCCAGAAGCTGCGCTCACCATTTCCCATCCCTCCTGGCTCAGGTGGACTCTGCTCAGCCCTATTTACTGTCCTTTTACTCCATGTTTTAGGTAAGGCGATCCACGCCAACACAACTTTATCGCCCACAGAAAAGGCAGTGTCACAGATCTGCCCCCAAATCAGTGACACCTGTAATAACCACCCCATTTCTGGAAGTGGTTGTTGGTGGGGACCCACAGTGCAGGTGCTGCACCCCACTTGAGCATGCCAGGAAGCTGGAGAAGCCGCACTGTCTGCAGGAAGTGCCAAAGGGAGCGACGTGTGGGCAGAACAACCCTAGGGCTCCCAGGAGCTTCACGCCCAGTGGAGCACGCTGGGTCTGCCAATGTCCACTCAGGACGTGTCCTGGGAGTTGAGGCCACGTGGTCTCCATCACAACTACTCACCTCTGCCACAGTAGCCGGAAGGCAACCACAAATGACACAAATGCACGGGTGTGGTGCAGGCCAATAAAACTTCTTAAGGGCCATGAAATTTAATTGTCATAAAACTTTAACATGCCAGGAAATATTACTGCTCCTTTGACATTTTCCCAACCATCTGAAAGCACAGAAGCCATTCTTGGCTCAGGCTACACAAACACAGGCAGTGGGAACAGGTCAGGCCCAGGAGCTGAGCTTGTGGTTGGCTCATCCCTGCTCTACTCTAATAGCTCCAGAAATCTGTGTTGGTGGGAAAACTCATTTCTAGCTGACAGTTCAAACACCACGCATCCATCCTGTACACCACACCCCCTTTTACCTTTTCTCACACCTTTTTAAAAAACCACTCCTGTTTTGGTAGCCCCCTATCTGGTTACATCAGAGACCGCTCCAAACAAACCCAAATAAGCTCCTTTACTGGACACATGTTTAAGAGTTTTGAAACATCTCTTCACAAACAGGGACCAGAGAGCCTCCTACAGAAACAAGCCATGGCCACAAAGGGACTGAGAGTCTTATGGATCCCCCTTCAGCAGAAGGTAGTCACCGCTTAGAGAGAGTAGGAATAAAACACCATCTTACCCAGTGTCCCTCATCAAGGTGTGGCCGTTTGGCAGGGTGAGGGTGAGTCAAGAAGAATACTTGTGTCAAACCAACACCATCTGTGGTTCTTAAGAATGAATGATGTACTTGGTAGAACGAATCAGACATCACTTTCCTATGTGCACACATGATATGCGACCAGTGAAACTCCACATCGTGTATAGCCACAAGATGGGAAGGGATACTCCCCATGTGTATGATATGTCAAAATACACTTTACTGTCATGTATATCTGAAAAGAACAAATAGAAAATAGAATGATAAAGAATGAACGATGCAGCTCAAAGTCTTATGTGGCTACTAAAGAAGAGTTTCATAAAATGACATCTGACTCCCCAAATATCACCTAGATGACATGTCCTTGATCCTTGGGGGAGATCACAGTGTGAGTCAGGTGGGAATACTGTCTTCTCCTCTGGCTTTCAAGCCCCTCTTCCCTCCAGAAACTTCTGTTTCTTGCATCCTCATCTGGTTCCCATGGAGAGGTCCTTGTGTCTTTTTTGGATTAAGGGTGGTGGGCATCAACACATGCCACTCCAAACACGGCACCATGGCACCCGAGAGAACAGGAAGGCTGCCCTCACCTCCTCCTCCTCACTCTTCCCCCATGAAGCAGGCCGTGCAAGATTTGTTGGACCTTCTGCCAAGGATGACACTCATGTAGGGCCACCCAACCAAGTCCAGAAGAAAAGAACTTTCTTATCCATCACCCAAGACTCTGGTGCCATGTAAAACTGAAACAGATGTCTCTTGTCAGCCTGTCCTTCATTATTGGTGCCTCAGCCATGAACCTGGCAATGGAAGAGAAAGGTCTTCTCCTCTCAACAGGGGAGGTAAAGGGGTATTAAACTGATTATTAGAAATACTCTGAGTCCTTGGCAAAGAATGAAGAAAATACTGCTGTATCCAGCCAAGCTAAGGCTTCTTCCAAATAGACCATGCAGACTTCACCCAGTTCCTTCCAGAAATGGAGCCTCAGAATTTGGGGGATGAGGTGACTGGGACCCAAAGGCACTGACGGACCTGTATTATAGCGATGGTGACTGAGGACAGCATCTTTGTGATGCTGGTCACTACTACTTCACACAAGTCAAGGATGGGCTGTGCCTATGCAGCAGCTGGCAGCTGACAGGGCTGTAAGGGTGAGAGGGACAAGGACAAGCACATGCCCTGAGAGAGGAGCAGATCCGGCTCCCCTGAGCTGCCTGGCTCTCTGCCAGAGAAGATTCTCCTAGTAATGAAGTATACCAGCTTTAATCTAAAAGTGACCTAACCCTCTGCCACAAATCCAGCCAACTGTGTCCAACAGGGGCTCAGTGCAAAACCAACAAAGGAGGACCTTGGACTCAGAATGGCTATACTCACGACAGAGTTCATTGACCTGCTAATTATCCAAACCAAGAGGCACCTTTTTCACTGGGTTTGTCCCTAAGTGCCCCTTGCACTGTTTTCCTAAATGAACCATTGTTTTGCATGAATCCAGACTTTCTTAGGAACCCCAATGCCATCTGAATACCAATGATAAGACATCTGTCCCTAGTGCCTTTTCTACAGGAACTGCAATTTTTTTACTAATTAAAAAGTGTGAGAATGGCTCACATCTTAAATAGACAAGAATTTCCCAGAGGAAGCAAGATATACACTAACTTTGGACATTTTGCTAAGGACTATGATACTGAGCTTATTATACATGAGCTTCACCACTCAGGGGCAACCCTCCCCCCCGCCAGGAAAAACAAGTAGGTTCTTTTCCACCTGGCATCCTCATTCCTGTCCTGTCTGCAAGGTACACAGTGAGAGCAGTCACCCTTCTCAGCATGCGTACCCAGCATCATGACCCCATTGTGAACTTCTATAGCCTTATGGAAATACTGACTTCTGAAGAGAATGAGTGATTCTTGCTCTAAAGCAAGCATAATCTAAACAGAAAGGCAAGGTGAATTCTGCCTGGGCAGAGGGACAGAGCTGATAAGTACAGTGGAGACAGTATTTGGTGAAATAAAAATTAAAGAGTCTCTAGGGCAGAGCCATTTTCAGAAAGGGAGACACAGGTTTGTCTCATTTAGGGCTATGTTTTTAGTATCCCACAACACAAGCTAGACTCCTACTTCTGTCTATTTCAGGATAAACTTAAGTCAGCTTAGTAATTCACCCCAGTCTTCTGAATAATTGTTTTACATGCTCTTCATGGACAGTGTTATTTATCACTCATTAATAATTGCCAAAACCACCAACTGGGTAAGGGGGGTGGTGGTTATGAACAACAGAAGCTGGGAAGTCCATCGAAGTAGGAGGTCACACCCCAAGGGGATTCACCTGTAAAGCTTGGATATTATAAAGTGTTTTCCTGGAGGAATCACAATGCACCCCCCCACCCCAATTCCAAGCTACACTGGGAACTAGAAAGTGTATGGTGACCTTGTGCTCACAAAAACGGGTTGCTTCACAGGCTGATCTCAATGAGGAGAAGGGGCTGTGCTGGAGCCCTGTGAGGACAGAGGGCAGACACCTATCTCTATCTCAGCCCGGGCTGTGTGCCCCACTGGCCAAGGCTGGGGAAACAGCCTTCCTGGATTTAATCCAGCCCAGCGATGGCGCTGGGGCCTGTGTTCCTCCCCCTTGCACCTGAGGACCTGCTCCATTCCTGAGCTCTGCAGGAGGTGGTGCTTTGAAGTTGACCAGGAACCTCTCATACCTAAAGTTGAAATAACTGCTGAATCAGGGTGCCCCATTTTGTCGGCTCATGGGCAATCGGACACTCGCTTTCCTCTCCCCCACCCTCCTCCTACTCTGAAGGAAACCAAATCCGCCTGTTAGAGGTCACCTGCCTCCCGGTACTAAAAGCCTAATATCTATGCATGGTTATCAAAAGAGAAGGCACAGTCCGGAAGGTGCCTGCAGAAATATCGTTACTAGATTCTGCGGCTCAGCCCTCTGGGCACAGGTCAGGAGGAAGGTGACCACACCAGGCGCAACCCCTAGCCCCTGGGCGGCCAGGATGCTACCGGTTCACCTGGAGATCTAGTTTAGGGTATTCAGAGAGCGTGGGGGATGTAGCCCCTGCAGCCACTCAGGCCCTAGGTTAGGGACCACTCCCCAAGAGTTACTTAGGGACCACTCCCCTGGAGTTCCTGGCGGTTGCACCAAGTCACGCTCTGAGACCACCTTGCTAAGGCGCGCGCCCTTGCGGCCGCAGAAGGGGCCAGGGAGGGTCAGAAGCTGGGGGCGGGGGATGGAGAGGCCCGGGCGTCGCCGGTGTGGCGCGAGGTGGCCGCGGCCTGCTACCTGTGGTGGACAGCACCGTGCTGGCGAAGAAAAGCGCGGAGGTGAAGTCCCAGTTCCAATTGCCCGAGGCGTTGCTGAGCACCGACACACCGTAGTTGCTGGCCTCCAGCACGCGGCCCAGGAACTGCTCGAGCTGCGGCTCCGACAAGCACTCGTGCTCCTCCAGGAAGCGGCGCTTCAGCTTGCGCAGCTCCTGGCGCAGCAGGTCCTCGTAGGGCAGCTCCACCGAGGAGAAGACCACGGCGCCGAACACCAGGTAGAGCAGGTAGCCGAGCACCAGGAAGCCGAAACACCAGGCCGAGCGGTGCCGCTCCACCAGGCGCACGCAGGAGCTGCCGGCCAGGGACTGCAGCATCTTCCCGCCGCCAGAACAGCGCCGCAGACCGGCCGGAGCGGCCGCCGCCCCTCGGCTTGGGCTCCGCTCCGGCCCGCGCGCTCCTCCCGCCACCGCCCGCCCGCGATTGGCTCGCTCCAGCGACGCTTTTCTTCCCTCTTTCCTGTTTCCTTGCAATATAAAAGGCCCAGATGATGTGGCAGTGACGTGGGCGCCGGCTCAGGTAACCGGGAATCGGCGGAGACCGCGCGCAAACTTGGCGGAGCGCTGGGCTGGGCGCGGCCCCGGAACACCCCGCCCGCGGCGCGCTTCCAGCCCGCGGCAGTCCCCGACCCCCGCCCGGCCTCCTGCGCCTCTCAGAGGCGCCCCTGCCCAGCGCCCACCGTCGGCCCCCCCCGGGCGGGGGAGCGCGCGGCGGGGCCACTTCAGGGCAAAGCGCTGCCCTCCCCGCAATTCCTGCCCCCGCGTATTTCCGCCTAGTCAAAGCCACCATCAAAAATAGCTAGCTCCTGATTCTGTCCTTCTCTTCTTATTGGCCAGACAGTTGGTCCATCTGGAGCCGGCGGTGGTGGCGAAGCACCTGAAACCACCGGCGGAAAAGCACCTTCAAGTGCCCTCGGACCCACACACCCCTCAAGAAGGCTCCCAGGAAAGGAAGCGTCTACAAGGGGCCTGTTTCTGAGCTCTTGATCTTTAGAACAGGACCTCAGGCTTTGTGCTAAACTGAGGACCCAGGTGCCAACTACCAGAAGCAGCAGCTTCTCAAGTCCTTCTTCTCAGGGATGGAGATGTTGAGAGGGGCCCGTGGGCTGCCTTATGGCAATGGTAAAAAACCATGAACCTTTCTGGAAAGGTAACTTAGCAGCAGGCCTCAAGAGTCTTGAAGGAGTGTGTGTGCTAAGAAAAGCACAGAGAAGCTGACCTGAAACATTTCTATCACATGCACACAGCATCTGGATGTCTACCATACACAGATAAAATAGCAGCCAATCGGGAGCATTCTGGATGTTCCAAAGCAGAAAAATTATGGTATCTCAAGAGGGGGGCTGCTTCCAAAGATGTGTTCAGACTGCTGAAGCATAAACAAAACCCTACAGAATCTCAAATATATAAAATATTTGTATTCTGCATTGTAAAATCGAAGTATTTCTGCATAATAGATTGCATGGATAAATAAAACCAGCTCCTACCCCTTGCCCGTAGGTGTTAGTAGAGGATGTAGGTGACTTTCATTTCTTGTGTTTTAAAATATTTTTAAAGTTTTCTACAGTAGCTGTGTTTTTGTAATCAGGAAAAGAATTAAAAGTAAAAGTGACTTGTACAATTATTTAGAATAAGAAAATCACATTTTATAAGTGTCTAACACACTCACCAGTGGTTCTTAACTCTCAGTAAATAATCCCTCCCTGCTTGCTCAGAGGATTGAGGTCATCCTTTGCTTTCCTTCTCTGTACTTCAAAAGCTCATCAGTAACCCATTTCTTTCCCTTGCTCCCACCCCTGAGGAAGAACAGGCCTCCTTATTTTCAAGGTGAAGCTATCACCCCAGCCCTCCAAGTCCTCCAGTCTCCCGAGTAGTCACCATCAGCCAGTTCTCAGCTCTTCAGGAGCCTGAGTCCCTCCTTTCCTGACTCCTACAAACCCTCTCAGGTCCCCACCCTATCCTGTCCTCTGTGGGTTCTTTAAGCCATGCTCCTCCTACCCTGGTCCCTGATCTTTGCTGATGTGACCTTTCTGGATCCACTTTGTTCCTGAGGCCCCCTCTCCCTGCAGCACGCCATCAGAGTCCTCCTGCCCTTGCCTGCCTCTTCTCCTGTGCTTCTGCTCATAAGTGTCCTCCTGCTGGGACACACCTTCTCCTTCTCTGCCATAGTAGGGGTCCTGTCCTTCAGGCCTGGCTTGCATGTCATATCTCATCCATTGAAATATGGCACCCAGCAAGATGTGAATTCTGTTCCTCCCAACTCACACAACCCCTCATGTGCCACAGTCTCTGGCACTAATGTCACTTTGTGTGCAGGCACGGTAATGTCATTGTCCTCTCATGCACATCCACAGAGATGGGAGCACAATTGCAGATGCTCTGGCCCTCCTCTCATCAGAAAGAGGGTCTGTGTCCTCTCTGCCTAGGCTGGGAGACTTGTGACTGTGTCAACCATAGAATGCATCAGATGGGATATGTGGTGGTTTCCAAGACTGGGTCATGAAAGCACAGGAGCTGTTTACCTTGTTCACTGGAATGCCTTGCCCTGGTGCCCTGAGCCACTGTGGGAGGGCCACTTGGAGGTGTTCCAGATGACCATTCCATTGTGCCCAGCCTTCTGCCCATCCTCAGTGAGACTTCAGACATGGAAGCATGGCTTTCTTCAGTCCTGCTGGCTGGGCCACCTGGTGACTTGCATCTCCCGGCTGAGCTCTGCCTGCCTGAACCAGGAACTATGTTGACTGTTGTTTTTAGCCAGTGGATTTGGGGCTGGCTGCCCGTGCCAAGAGAGCCAACCAGATAACATGCCTTTGGCCTGCACTGAACTTTGAAAGCCATCATTGGATACTTGCTCTCCCTCCCCTCCTCCTTCTCTGACTGAGACACTGTTCCAGTTCTACATTACAACCAGGCCAAGGATACCAGATACTTCTTGTCTTAACTGTGTGTCACCTTGACAAAATACCTGAGATCAACCAAAGGAGGAAAGGGTCAGGTTGGCCCTGGGTGTCGGAGCCTCCAATCCATAGCCAGTGGCCCTCATTGTTTTCTGGCCTGTGGCAAGCAGGAATCAGGGGGAGTCCTTGGGGGAACAAAGCTGATTGCCTCATGGTGGCCAGAGAGAGTAAGAGGAAGGGGCTGAGGTCCCTTGTACCGTTCCAGGGCACAGTCCCACGACCGAAACCACCTGCACCCTCAGGGGCCAGTCTGTGGCACCAGAGTCCTGTGTGTACAGGTGTGGTCCCATCATTGTCCTCTGAAGTGCACATCACAGAGATGACCTTCCTGACATTTCCACTACCCACCAGGGCCTTCCACAGGGGACCAAGCCTTCAGCACATGAGCTTTAGGGGGACACTTAAGATGCAAGCCATCATACTCTTGCAAGATTTGCTACCTTTGGACTACAGGTAGACACCAGAAACCTCCTGGGAGTGGTCCTGTGGGGGCTCAGATCCTGCCCCCAGGAGGTCAGTCCACAGAGCCTTCTATAGCTCTGGCTGTGAGAGATGCTATGAACCCCAGATGCACAGTGTGGCGTTTCCTTTCTTCTTCCTGGTCAGATGCACTGTTGTCAAGGGAGTTAGCAGACTCAGGGGAGTCAGGTGTCCTGCACTGGAACCAGGCCTCTCTGCTGACTGGCTCCTCCCCCCACCCTCCTTCCAGCAGGGATTCAGGGGCAACAGCGCATCCTCCTTTCAAGAGGATGGGGATATGCAAGGAAACTCAGAAGAGCCCCAGGATTCCTGAGAGGGCAGCTCTGGCAGGATGGGGCATGAGGAATGTGAGGGATGCCGTGCTCTGCCCATTGCCTCATGTCCCTCCCAGGATGTAACTTGTGGACAGTGGTCATGTGTCATGAGAAATAAACCTGGGCCAGAATCAGTGCTGCAAAGAATCACTGCTGTGCTGCAGGATGACATGAGGTGTAAACCGGCCCAGCTACCTCAACAGCTTGTCCAGGAGAAGAAGGTAGAGATGCTGGCTTTACACGAACCCATTTCTCTTGGGGTCTAAAGTGGACAGTCAATCAGCAACCCCTACAGAACCTCGGTGTTGTAGTTCCACTTCCAGAAACTGACCCAAAAGAATTGGAAGCAGGGGCTTGAACAGGTATTTACACACCCCTGTTGTCAGCCACATCCTTCACAATGGTTAAAAGGTGGAAGTGACCCTAGTGTCCATTCACAGATGAGTGGATAAACCATATACAGCCATGCATACGATTGAGGACTAGGCCATCTCAAGAAGGGAGGAGATTCTGACACGTGCCCTTGAGGACAATAGGTGGCATCGGCGAGACACAAGGCAAGCACTGTGCCAGTGCATTTGTGTGGGGTGTGGGGAGGAGTCAAGGTCACAAGGACAGAGAGTAGAGCTGGCCACTGCAGCAGGGGAGGCCTCAGGAGTGACATCAGTAGGTACTGAGTGTCCGTCTTACAAGATGAACAGAGACCTAGAGATGGTGGCATAGCATGGCAGCTGTGCCATGTCACAGAACTGGGGAGTGCTTCCAGCAGTGCCTGGCTGTCTCAAGAGCACTGAAGCCCAGGGCAGCCACCACAGACTGGGAAGACAGGACACGGCATACCGGCCTTGTCATTCAGATGGGAGGTTTTATGATCCAGCGTCTTTGACGTTGGGGTCCCTGAGGATGGTGGACTCCTGATCAGGGATGCGCAGGATGCCCAGGTCCCTGACTCCCAGGTGGTGCTATGCCCAGGTATTGGGGTCCACACCTTGCAGACCCTCAGCCTGTCACGATTGGCTAGGGTGTTGCCACTCTCCTTTCTTCTGGTCCTCTGGGGAGTGTGGCTCAGGTCTGGGCCTCTGAACAGGGTCTGCTGGGGATTAGCCAATGGCAGATGCCTCCCCTGGGATACTCCAGCCCTTGCAGGTCCTGGCAGCTGGTCATGGCTGGTCTGAGTGATGCATATAATGCCCTTGCCACATCTCTGGCTCTTTGCCACCCCTCCTGACCAATTGCATCTTGACTGTGAGTGAGGAAACATAACTGAATCTTCTCACCTCTCAGTGCACTCCTGCAAAGGATAAGAAGGGGAAAGAAAAGCAGAAAGGGCTTTCCTGGAAGCAAGTGAAGAAGGGGGAGGAGCCGAGAGCCTGCTGTCTCCTGCCACCCTCCAGGGCTCAGAGGGCTCAGCTTGCTCCAGGGCTGACCTGTGAAGGTGGCAGCCACCTCATTATCCACTCAGCCACCCCACCAAACAGGCCTGTGTCCAGCAGCTTGGAAAGGCTCCCTCAGGCTTGCTGGTCCCAGGACTTTAGCCTCTGATCCTAGAACCAGAAGAGAGAAAACAAGAGGGGGCTGCATCCTCTTGCCCCAGGAGTACTTGGCCTGGATGCCCTTGCCAGTGCTCTGGAGTCCTCCTCACACCTGGGGCAGCAAGCTCCTTGACAGCACACCATGCACTCTGCAGCTGCAACACCCCATCAGGGTGGTCACAGGGTACTGGGTGGCACCCAGGGAGCTCCCCAGCAGAGTGTGTCTGAAGGTCAGCATCTCGCCCCTCCAAGAAATGACCTGCTCAGAGAGGATGTGCTCAGGTCCCAGGACCCTGCGATTCCCCACTCATCCCTCTGACCTCTGGGATGAGGACTCCAGGGAACATCTGTAAGCCTGCACTGCAAGTGCTCTGAGACTTCTAATTGAGTGCAACCTCTGGATGCCAGAATAGCCCCGTCCCTGGCCTGGCCTGTGCCACTGTCACTTGAACTTTCTCCTGTCTTTCAGGACCTCATGTAGATGTCCCTACAAATAGACACCTCAACCTTCTGAGCCCATAGAAGCCACCTCTCCACCTTTGAATTCATGCTGCATGCAGTATCTGTGTACAACTCCAGGTCTTGAACTTGCACCCATTAGATTTCACACTCTTAGGAGGAAACCTGGCATTTCTATGGTTCTTTGTATTTTCTTCAGCATTCTGTCACATGATGTCTTCACCATAAATATCTTTGATTGATTGATGAATAAATGAGGAGGCAGAAGGGAAGTTCAGAGAGATCTGAAGCAGGAGAAGGACTCAGCCCTCTGCTGCTGACTTGGAAGAGAGCCATACAGAAGCCAGGAATCACAGAAGGCTCCAGAAGCTGGAAACAAGCCCCATCCACAGCCAGCAGGGAAACAGGGACCCGAGTCCTCAAACCACACAGGAGTGGCTCCTGCCACCTGTCAAGTAACTGTGCAAGAGAGTCCACCTCCAGAGCCTCCAGAGAGGGAGGCAGCCCTGCCCACACCTGGGTTGGGCCGAGGCCTCATGGTGCCCAGACTCATGACCCTTAGTGATCATGAGATAACAACTCTGCGTGATCTTAAGCCACTACGCTTGTGGTGATTTGTCATGGCATGGATAGAAAACTAGGACAATTAGGATGTACTGGGGTCGGAATGAGTGTTGAGTTTAAACACTGTGCCCGGCCACAAGTGTACTGGGCAATGCTGCAGTTGAGGACATCGTGTGTCCCCTCTGGGCCTGTGTCCTCAGATGGAAACCAGGAGGACATTGACAAACTTCACAGGCTTGGGTGTGTTGGGGCGAGGGGGGGGGCTTAAGAAAGATAATGTGCAAATACTTGCTAAACACAGTGCTGTGGAGCTACTGG